AACTTTTTTTTTTTTATATACTTGAGAAAGGTGATAAAAAAAAAAAAAAAAGAGATGAAGAGCAATTCTCTGCCTTGGCCTGAAGATGTCCCTGGTCCCAGTGAGTGCCTATTCAGTGAAGAGGCAAACACTACAGTGAGGCAGAGGAGCTGCCTTATCTTAGGCCATGCCAGTGATAGGGAGGACTGGGCTTAGGAAGGAGACAAACGTGGCCCTGTTTCTCTGAGTCATAAATGTTGCCAAGGAAGAGCATGTGACCATGATCAGCTTGACCTCAATTGGTTCTTTGAGAAGGAGGACTATCTTCTCCCTGTGTCTCCTAGGTTAGCGGGGATAGATGTTACCATGTCCATGTAATTAATAGCACTAGGTGATATAACAATTGAATTCTCAAATTTCAGTGATTCAACATAGTGAAAGTTTCTTTTTCACCCCAAAATTCAATTTGGATGTTTCTAGCAGGAAGGCAGCATTCCTAAGCTTGGAAATTCATGGACCCACGCCCTTGCATCTCGAGCTGCTAACCTCTGTCTCTATTGGCAGAAGAAGAAAGAAAGGGTGAGAAGGTATCTGCTTCCTGACTTCCTTACCCCAAAAGGGACATGCATCACTTCTGTTCATACTGTAAGTAATAACTAGATATTCAACTCCACCTGGATGCAAGGGAGGGAATGATTATGTAGTTCCTGAGTGTGTGTGGCAGCGGGGACAGCCTCTTTCTAGTAAAAACCCTACACTATTGAAAGGGGAACATGAACCTTGGCTGGACAGATATCCTTTTGCCACCCACATGTTATAGATCAGGAATTGCAGTATAGAAATGTGAATTGTTCAAGATAATATGACTTATTAGTGGCAAAGTTAGGGCTGGAACTCAGCCTGTTTTCCCCCCAGAAAATACTTGATAGAATCTTCTCAGTGTTAATCCCCATCTAAAGGAAGAGTGGAGTAAAAGAGAAAAGAGAAATTCTGTGGCCATGAACAGATATGAGCAGGTGGGCACCCCTCCCTGGGCTCCTGATTTCTAAGGTCTGCCTCCTTAGGCATTGCAAGCAAGTATTCACATATTTAAATGTGCTGCCTGCTGGCTGCCTGTGAGGAGCAGGATTTTCTGAATGTAGTACATTTTAAATTTGAGTGAACATCAGTTCCTGGAATGTTTGCAGAACATGCAGTTTCCCAGGCCCCATCCCAGCAAGTCTGATTCAAACAGCCCTGAGATAGGGGCCAGAAATCTGTGCTTACAATCAGCACCCCAGTGATTTTGAGGCAGGTGGTCCTTGCAACACACACAGAGAGGCATTGCCTTGATTTGTATATGTTTTATGAGATTTGCCTACATAGGTGTTGCAGATGCGAACTGTGACCTGCCCATATTGTCTTGTCCTTGACCCTTGATTACACACCACCTGCCTACTAACTGCCAGCACCTGCATTTTTTCCCCCAGAGGTCTTCAAATGATCTCTGGAGGCTGCTTTGCCATCCATGTGATAGGCTAGAATTGCTAGAGAATAAACATCATCCAGGAGCTGTTCTTAACTAACACCCGATAAGTGTTGGTGTATAGGTATCCCAGCTCCCTCCTCCCTCAGTTGGACCCACTCTCTGCTGTGTGTTCTACACTGATTTCCAGAGTTCCCCACTGGGATTAGGTACCAAGTGCCCACAGTGGTACCCAGCTTGATAATGTACCCTTTATTTGCTAACTTCCCCACATGACTAATGGGATTCCCTTCACCTCTTAAACTATCTGCCCTGAATCCTTGTTTCAGGTTGTGCTTCTGGGGGAACCTAAATGAAGCCAGTAGAGATGCACATATACAGTATGTCAGAAATTCTTAAAGAATCTTTCCCATGACTACTGTATGAATGTATGAGTTGACTGTGGAAGTGCAGAACACACTCATTCATGACATTGCTGTCATGAACCTCATTGGCTCTGTCAGTCTAACATGTCTGATCTTGCTTCTAGCAGCCAGTGTCTAATAAACTGAGCAAAACCCACATGGAACATTCACCGCCACGTGCAGATGGTCTAGCAAGAAAAATATTGTCTTCGTTTCCAAAAGCAACAAATCCCATTCCCACTTTCTCCTGTCAGCTTTATTCCATGTGGGAGCATCAGGCTGTCAATGTTTCTCCTGGGTGAGTAGCCTGCAAAGGTTCCCAGTCTTAATGATTACCCCAAAGCAGGAATTGTGGCATAAATCTCCATGTGTGGAATATATATCACAGCTTGAGTTAAATGGACCTCTAACATATGGCATTGTTTTTTGCATTTTCTAACACATGGGCAGTTTCTCACATTTTAAATCAACTGAAAATGAGAAGATTATAGGCAAATCTTCTTGGAGGGTTAACTACTAGGAAATATATTTGGTTTGAATAAACATTTGGGATGGGATGGAGGATGAGGTCAGACACTTTCCAAAGACAGACTGTATATTGTAGAAGGTGGTAGCTCAAGGGTAGGCAAGGTGGATGACGGCCTGGGTTTCAGACACTCTCCCCTCACTCAGACTGCAGCAAAGAGCAAGCAGCATCATGGTGTTTGGGTCTCAGGAATAGAGGCTGTAACAGCTGACGACTTTTTCCTGTGACTGTTACTGATACGGACCAGTCCCTCCTGGAGACAGTCTTTCTTCCTGTGTCCCAATGTTGCTCTCAGTCTGGGCGAATGATAACCTGTACATGAGCCTATGTCACTTGCTCAGGGGCTACTACATAAAGCCATTCGAAACACTGAAGAATAGATAGATGGCCTCTATTCCTTATTGACCAGATTCCATGTAGGATTTGAGTGATGGCTCTATTTTGAGTATCAAGAGTTAAAGATGATGCAAAATGAAGCATCAGACTTGCACTTTCCTTAGGAGATATTAAGTCTAATTTTCTTGCGGAAGGCTGCACCAAAAAGGGCAGCGATGTGCCTGTAAGACATCAGTTCTCTGCAGGTAATGATCAATAGAGAAAGGAGAAAAGCAGCTCATTAGGCATTTCTTCCCCAAGCAGCTCACTGAGCCTTGTCAGGCCTCCAAAGCCAGCCTTATTGTCCTTATGATTAAAGTGGGCCCACTAGAGCACCAGGTTGCTGCCCTTTTGACTCATGCCAGGTAACCACCCTACTAGTTGGCCTCTAGCCGCCCCTGAAGACCATGTGTGGTCAGCAGTTGTAGAGACCTTATTTTTGAGGACCTCCTCTGCCTTTCCCCTCTGTCGTCTCTTTTCCCTTTAAATGTATTAATACACACGTAGCAAAGGGTCTAACAGGGACTTATTCATACTTCTACGTTATCTGCAATAACATTTCTCAGACCGGCGTCTTGGGTCTGGAGTTTGGGGTGGAGTGGGCTTCCTGGTATACTCATCAGGCTGCTGCACTTACTTTACACTTATGCGGGAGGAAGAAGCTCTTCCAGTCCCCGAGAAAAGAAAATCGTTAAAGCTTCTTACACGCAGACATGCAACCAAGAAGCCCACCCAGTCCCAGCTCTGCATAAATTAGGAGCTTTTCTTTCTTCCCACCTTCCTTGTCCCAAGTGGCACTGGCCACTGATCACCCTCTTCAGGGCTGCACCAGACATTCACAGGGAATTGAGGTTCCCTATACAGAAAGGTTTTCAGCTAGAGAACCCAGCTCATTTTCTCTCTCCAAATCCACCTCTCTCCCTCTTTTGTTGTTGTGGCCATAAAATAATGATTCTACGATCAAAGAACCTCTCATGGGGAGATGGGAGAGGGAAGGGAACGAAAGGGGAAGAGGTGCCTTGGGCTGAAACCTGTAGATTTTTCTAAGTGATAAAGGGCAAGCGTCATGTTTTGAAATTAGGAGAGAGACAGCTATCTCCTCAATCGAAAGTGTGCACATTAAATCCAGCCTTGGGAAAAGCCAACACAACCAGGGAGGAAGTGCTATGGGGTTTTGAAGCCAGGCAGCTGTGATTTCTGGCTTTAATACTTTCCAGTCGTGTCTCTAAGCCTCGGTTTCTTCCTTCATCTGTAGAGTGGGCTTAATGATTTTGATCATCTCACAGAGTTGATGTGACAAAATAACCTGAGCAGAATAATTTATATATATATATATATACACACACACACAGGAATTAATGCAAGATTCCTGACATGATGCTTTTAAGTTCATGATACTTAGGAAGATAAAATTCATTGCAGACATGCTGAACGGAGGACTAAAGCCTCCCTTTTCGGGGTCTCTCCTGTCCTTCTCCATCCTCTTATCTCCTGGGTTGCCCGCTCTCCCCCAGGCGCCCCGCTCTCCCTGGCTCGCCCGGGCCTGTGGCGCCGCCTGCAGTTGCGCGCGGCCGCCTCTAGATGGAACTTTCTCACCAACACAAGGCCCGGCCGGGGCAGCTTCCCGGGCGCTGGGCGGCGAGGGGCCTGGTTCTCTTATTCCGGTGGGTGCGGGGTCGGGGGGCTTGGGTAGTAACTAGCGGGGAGAGCACTGGGCTGTGTACGTCGAGCCCGGCAGGTTTCCACAGGCGGCATGCGGAGGGAATCCCGAGGTTTCCCTGCAGAACCCGAGCGCGGTTCCCCCGGAGTTTCCTGCCCCGCGTCTGCGGCTCCTTGAATCATCTCAATGAAATGACCGTCCCGGCAGCCACCCACGCCCCCTCTTTCTCAGTGCCCGCAGAGGGACCGCGCTGTGTGGTACCTCGAGCCTTGGGGGCCCTGTAGCACGCGTTCCCCAGGCCCTCGGGGGCAGGAAGCGGGGAGACAATCTCCTGAGCCGCTGGGCGGGACAAATGGCGGAACCGCCGCGCGGCGCGAGGCAAACTTTGCAGGGGAACCGCGTAGCTTACGGGCTCTACTTTAAGCGTCTCCGACAAGAAAGCAGCATGTGGCGCGACACTTGTCATCTACCATGTGTTATTCTTGGTGACGCTTTCTGGATCTGTGTTCACAGGGGACCCGGGCTCCCAGGTACGGCCCGCAGTGCTCGGGCGGGTGTCGCGCCTCCTCGCGCCGGTCCCGGGCTCGCCAGGCAGCCGGAGTCGCTGGGCTCCTCCACAGCCATGTTCCTCATTCTACCGCTCCCGCTTCTTCCCCGCCTCCCACCATCCTACACTGCCGTTGGGTCCTCCCTTCTGTCTTGGGGGCGGGAAGGTGGGGGTGATTTTTAAAAATCAGAACTATTGACATTTCTGGTCTCCTCGTCGCTTCGGACTGAAGCGCGGAGGGGGATCCGCGGGCCGAGGGTCCCCCCTCCCTGCTTGCACCAGGGCCGCTGGGTGACACCGAAATCCAGAGGCTCCCGCCCCTCGGGGGTTCCTCCTCCCGCTTCCCGAGGTGACTGGTTGGCGCGAAGGGATTGGCGATCCCGGGCGCGATCCCGGCCGCGGCTCCCCGCGCCGTGCCGGGTGAATGGCCGCGGGCGGAGGATCTGGAGGCGCCGGCCGCAGACCAATCGCGACCGCCGTTGGGAGTATTTGTTATTCACATGGAAGAGACTTGGCGCCGGCTTGGCCAGCTCAGCCCCCTCATCCCCGAGACCAGCCACAAGTGCTGCCACGGTGCTCGCCTCGCGCGGCGACGGCGGCGGCGGCGGAGGCGCTGACATGGAGCTGCGGGCCCCCCGCGGGCTTCCTCACCGCGCCCTCTGCGGGGAGCAGGGTAAGACTCGCCGCCCGTAAGCAGAGAGAGGATCTGAGGAAAGCAAATGCCGAACCACCGGACAAGAAGCCCCCCGCCCCCAAACTCCCCCGAAACGCCCTGCTTGTTGGAAAAGGAGAATCCCCCTGTTTTATTCCCCTTTCCGTTTTCTTCCCTAAAACTGTTCAGCGGACAGCCAGGTGCACCGTTGCTTCTTACATCACTCTAGTGATTTGCTTTTCCTGAGCACAAGTCGATGGCCCTGCACGCCCGGAGTCTGTGAGAGAACTGGTGGGCGGAGGTGACGAGAATGGGGGGAGAGGGAGAGTGGGCACCAGGGGGCGAGGGGCTGGCCGGGCATTGGAGCTTGATTGGGTGTCTGTTGATTTTACGTTGCAAAGAACAAGGCAGCCACCCCTCTTGTCCGCCCGTGATTACATTACAGTAAAGAGGTTCAGAAAAGAGGGAGGCTTCACCCGGAACTCCCAAGGCTTGGAGATGTGATCCCCCAAAAGTTTAGTCGGCGAATGGGAGGCTGAAGGGCGACGGGAAGGGAGCAGGCGCGCTCGGCGCTCTGACGGGGCGTGCGGCGGCAGGATTTTAAAGCGCTCTGCCTCGGATCGCCTGCCCCGGGTGACCTCCCGGACCTGCCCTGGCGGAATTCGGACTTGCCCCGCCGAGATGACGAGGTATCTTAGTTGCGCGAACCTAACGGGAGGGATTTCCGAAGTTAGCGGTTTCCGGGATGAGTCGGGGTAACCCCCGCCTTCTGAGCGTGGGCTGGATGGATGTCTAACCAGGAACTCGGGAGGATGGGGGTCGCTGGGGAATCCGGGCGCTTCGGGTCCTCGACAGAGCATCCCCACACCGCGCTCGCTCTGCCTCGAGTTTGCGTTCTCCGAGTTAGCCCGGCGAGCTTGGGATTTCCGTGCCCCCCTTTTGTGGCTTTCGGGAAACGCCGGAGTTCTGTGTCCCGTTGGGGGTTGGGGGATTGAGAAAAGATCTCGGGGATCTTGTTTAAAAGCAAAGCAAACGCGCCCCGACAGCTCCTCGGTAGCTGTCGCGGCCGTCGCGGCCCCAGTTTCTGGCGGCTCCGCACGGGTTGTGGGCACTTGGGCAGCCAGGTGCGGCGGGGGGGGAGGCTGCATCCCCAGCGCGCGGGAGCACCGGGGCGGCGCCGGAATGCCCCGGGGCGCGGGAAAGGCGAGATCAGCTGGCGCTTCCCCCTCGGCCCTAGTCTCTTATCTACCCAGAGCGCGGCTTCAACAGCCTAAAGCACTGAGAAGAAAAAGGAACGTGCGGCGGGGAACAGGGGACCCCGGCAGGCTGAGTGGCCGCTGTTACGGTAGAGCTAGAGACAGAGAGGTAGAGATTGACCGCTCAGCCACTCCAAGAGCGAGCCCATCCGCCCATCCAGAAAGCTCGGAGATTCCTTGAGCTTCCTACAGTTGGTGAAAAGATAACAGAATCACCAAAAAAAAAAAACAAAAAACAAAAAACAAAACCAAAAAATTCCCTCTGTCTGACACGCGCTCCTTTGGTGCAAATGAAATGCGAGGGACACGCCAGTCACCCAGTTGCGCAAACGGCACCCCCGCGGTTCCTTGGGGAATTACTTCCCCTGTAGCCCAGATTGTGAAGCCTGGGATGTCTGCGCACCCAGGATAGCGGGAGTGAAAACAGACCCCCTCTCGGGTTGCATTAACCCATACCTTTAAGTCCTCTAAGCAGTCCCTCTCCGGGAGGGAATGCCTTCTTTGCGGTTTGGGGGATGATCCTTTCCCACAAACCTGAAGGTGCGGGAGTTTCTGGAACACCCAAAAATGTGCTAGGGTCTGGGTTACTACCGCGATTGAATACAAATCCTGCCAACGGACAGACTGGAAAACAAGGCTGGCGGTGGAGATACTTACAAGAAAAATCATGAACGGGAGAAATGCAGTCCTATGATAGCTTGTATTTTGCCTGAAAGAAAAATAGAGAAAAAGAGCCACCAGCAGGTAGATCTTGGATAAACAGCTTATTGCACTTGCCTGTAATTTCCATTTTCCGTTATGAAATTGTTTGTCAATAATTGCAAATGGCTACAGAAACCACTTTAGTTTACCTTGGTCACTTGCTTGTGAACAATACGTGAAAGATCTCTGTAGGAGGCAGAAATCAGCTGTGTGCAATTCATTCTCTGGTTCTTGAATATATGTGGCTTGATAATTTGGAAAAGAAAAGCTTTCTCCATCAGGGAAAACGAACCAAGATTTTTAAAAATGTAATTTCCCATTTTAGAGTCAACTACAGGTTGTACTGTGTCTAAGACAGGGAATTCTTGCTTTAGAATAAAGAATGTGGGGAAAAATAGATGACAGGAGGCTTTGTAGGAGACAATTGACCCGGAATAAAGAAGAAGATGCTGAGAACATGGTTCTCTATACTGTTATGTAGGCTCAATTTGTTCTGTTTGGATTGTGCTAGCTAGTTCTGCCCTATTATGCATCCTTGGAAAGTTATAGCTGCTTGAATAATTCTAAGAACATCTACATCCAAAAGGAATAGAGTAAAGGAAGAGCTGAGCTCCAATGAGTGCAGGAGAAAGTTAGAGGTCTGGAGAGATATGCTCTTTTCAAAGTTGGCTGAGCAGGTTGAAGCTGCTGGGAGGCTTGTTTAATTGGTATTTATGCAGCAAATAACCCGCTGACATTCACATTGGCAATTGTGTGGCAACCTTTGTGTTCCATTTTCTTGAGGGCTGACACATAGCACACTACACACATGTTTTTTCCTTCCAAGTTTCCTTCCCACCACCTTCCTCAGGTAGTTAGAATGCCCATCATGAAGATGACCTTGCTTTAGTTGGGGGAGTGGAGTTGCTCTGTCCCAGTGTCTTAGAGGATGCTGCTTGAATTTATCTTGTCCTGGACTCACAGCAAAGACCTGGCCCCATCTCTATGCCTGGCAAGTTGGCTGGCTTGTGGAGTTTCAGGAAACTTGCTGTTTTCTTGATAGACTCTGGGCAACCCCAGACTCATACATGTGGTTCATTCACTAGGGATGGTCACTTCATGTTGTTCCAGGAGATGCTATGAGCAGAGAGTTGGCTGGATCTTATTGTTTCCACTTCAAGACAGATTTTTTTTTTTTTTCTGCTAGGAATTGGAATTTCAATTTGGGCTTTCTCTCTGTCTTATTTTTTTCTTTTCTTTATTTATTTATTTATTTATTTTGGTGAGGAGTATTTACATTATCATAAGAACAGTTAAGATGGTTTTTTCTTTGATTTTCATTTCTACTTGGTACTTTGATAAATTGTGGCAAACTCACCCACTCATTGGGAGGGACCCTGAGCATAATGTCTCGTCCCAGGGCACCCTCTTTGAATGGTGGGCATTGCTGTTGGAATGATTTGAGAGGTGCCATTGAGAGGATCCTGACTCCTAGCTCCATGCTCTGGCTTGTTGCATCGCCAGCCTTAACCATTATTAATGGTGATATTTCTTTTGTAAAGGAATTATGGCTCTCCTAGGAATCATTTCGAGAATGCAGATATTCCATTTGGGGATGACAGTAATGCATCTTAAGGCTTTGATACCTACTAATGAATCCATTCACTCCCTGGGGAGGGCCAAGGTAATGAAAGAACAAAGGCACTGAGGGAAGGAAGACACCTAGCTCTGCGGAGGCCAGGGCAAAGCAGGAGGTGAGCAGAAGTGGGAAGATCGAGGAGAGGCCCCAGAGGAGTATGTGGAGATCGATCGTTGGACACATGTGTTGCCAATTTCATACTTTTCCAGGCAGGCTTATGTCTAAAGCTAGAAAACTGCAGGCTATTTATTGGCTGACTTCTCCAGGGGTCATGACCAAGCGGTAGAAGCAGCATATTCTGCCCATACTTAGGAAGGTTTCAAGTTGTCCTGTTTTCACAACAGGAGATTATCTTGCCACCACTTTCTTCAGAATAGCCCTTTAGATGCTCAGTGTCCATGAGCTTTAGTTCTCCAGGTCAGACATGGTACTTCCATTGACTTCTTGCGTCCTTTCCAGTTTCCCTTCAAGCTCTTCATATAGGCTTGCCAGGGTTGATTTTTTTGAACCTGTGAGCCTTCTTAAGGTCTGACTGGCCCTAAGTGTGTTGAGGAAGTGGTTTTCTTAGATTTTCTAAGTACAATACACCACTAACATATTTTAGTTCTAGGATTGATTGTTAAACTAATAGTATCCCTGTGCCTTCTTAACAGCACTTCGAAGTTTATAAAGCACTTTGATACACATTATATTGTTTGATTACACAAACTAGGAGGTGGGGGGAAATCACTCCCCATTTTAGAAACAAGGAAACTGAGATCTGGTGAAGTGACCTTCCTAGGGTTACACAGTGAGTATTGGGGGAAGTAAGACTAGAATCAGTGTCTCCTAGGACTCTAGAACATCTCACTCATGGTCCATATGATCAAATCAGGATTAGTTTTATATCCAGCATGGCCTCCTGTCCCCAGGGGCTTGGAGTAAGGGAAAGAACGTAATGGCAGTCCTGCATTTGAATCCTGATCTGAGACTTTAGACACAGTCACATAATGTTTCTGTTTTCAGGTTCCTTTGATCCTGAATGAAGGCTGTGATATCAACCTTATAGTTGTATTTTAGAGGGAAATGAAATAATGTGTCTGCACCTCTAGACGCTGCAGGCATTCAGTAAGTGTTGGTGTCACCTGCTTTCTCTCTTCTTATCTGATACATATTATAAAAAGTAGCTTCTCATTACTTTAAATATGGTCTCTTTGTGTAATAGCTGTGTTATTGGAAAAATGAGGGAACAAATTGAATTCTACTAAATCAGATTTTTTTTAAATGCCAGGGATTTAGCTATTTAAAGGAAACCTGGGGTGAATTCTTTTGTAATGCAAATAATCACTTTCTAATTTATCTGTTTAGTAAGTCGAGCTTCTTCTGTATCAGATTTTTTTAATATGAGGCTGGCTTGTGTAGAAGAGCTTTCACAATCCTCTCACTGATGAAAAGAAGTCACTAAACTTGCAAACAAAATCAGTTATTGTATTCAGTTGGCAAAGCCTTGCTCCGATGTTTGAGCATAATCTCATATTCCCTTATTATTAATAATAGAATCTCAGACTAGGAAGCAGGAAGACACCTTAGAGATCATGTGGCCCATCTCACTCATTTCACAGGTGAGGAAATGGAAGCACATAGAGGTGAGGGGACATGTTCAGTGTCACCAGCCAGTGACTGTCAAAGATCTGATTCCAGGCCTCTGTTGCCAGGGGAGAGCTCTGTCTGCCCCATCCTCACTCTGCCCCACCAAAAAACCAAGAATCCACAGACATGCATACATATTGCAGCATGGGAGATGACACAGAAATATGATGCATTTTCAAAAACAACCAAAAGTGCTGCAAGTGTGGGCAGTCATATAAATTGATGATAATATTCAGTCTAACCTTTTTGTTAAAGAGCTGAATGGAATGCAGCATAGGAATGTTGCTTTGGCCTTTTTATGAGAAAAAAAAGACAAATCTTGACCAGTGGTATTCCTCAGCAAGGATTTTACCCTGTTGTATGTTAATCGTACCTGCTAAATGCCCAAGGAAGATGTGATGGCAGACCCTGAGAGACTCTGCATGTGTTGGTGGGTGTGTTCCCATTGGCATCCACCTGGCCAGGAGACCTAATTAGGGGCAGAAGTATTTGGACAAACCACAGAGGATCTTCTCAGCCCTTTGAGAGATTCAGAAATCACCTCCCTGGAAATGCCCCCAGATTGTCCCTTCCTAAATAGCATTTTATTGTTCTTCCAGAGCTTAAGCATCAAAGATGCACACCTTTCTGAAAGATTGCAGTGGAGGGGCAGGCCCCTTCCCTTCTCTTGTGCTGCCACAGATAGTCCCTGCAGGCAGTACTGGGGGCTTTCCACAAGGACAGGACCCATCTTTTGGGACAGACGACTTTGGTGGCACTGCCGCTCAACAGCTCACCAGCTCAGGGTTTGGGGCCACATTCAATCCTTTGAGCCGTCTTTTCTCATTTATACAAGAACTAATTCCGTAAATGAAAATTTATGGAGATGCTATGTTAGGTACTTGACACTGGTACAGAGAAGATGTGTAGAAAATAAAGCAGAATTCAGGGCTCTGGCCAGTGAGGAGGTGTCCTTCTGGCCTTTTAGGAAACAGAGCACATTTAGGGAGCCACAGGCTCAGGTTCCAGCCAGAGTGACTGCTTCCAGGAGCCTTAGGCCAGGGGATTGCCCATAGAGGGGTCAATGGTGTATGATATGCCCTGTAAGTGAGGGTGTGTTGGCAGGGGTATGCACAGGAAGGGCTGTGAGGGTTCATGGTTAAGCCTCCCCTTAAGGTTGCATGGCCCCTCCCTGTGGGCCGAGACAGTGCTGAGACGATTTGTCCCCCTCTGAGATTGGTTTCAGGAGTCCAGACCTCACACCTCCTTGAAAAAGTCCATCACATCCCAGAGGAAGGTCAGTTTGAGAAAAGAGCTGTTTATACTTTAAGTCAAGCACAGCACACAAAGTTTGCATATATAACTATGAAGGATTATGATTTCTTTAAAACTCATTGACCCAAACTAGGATAAGTTTGGATTAAAGCTCACAAGAATTGTATAAGAGCAAGATAAGTAATTTAAGATTATACAACGAAACCTAATTGATATAGTTACTCACAAACTTTCAAATGTATTTTTCCTTAGATTTTTTAAAATGGGAAACTAAACCTTCTGGCAATGGAGTCTGTGATTTTTATGACAGTGTATCAGATTTTAAAATAACTGCAAGATTTAAATATTTTATAAGTAGCTCTGCTTTTATTTTTTAAAGTGACAAACGAAATTCAGCAAAAGCTCACCAACTGGGCAAGTACAGAAAGAGTCGCTCTGCTCTAGTACAAAATGAATTACAGACTAAGAAGTTAGCAACAATAATTCCTGTTTACTGAGCCAGGTACTGTGCTTTCTATGCATGCTCTGTGGCAGGTTCTACCACCCCTTTAGAGACAAAAAAAGCAAGCTTACATGCAATCAATTCTATGTTCCAGAGATGGAAACTCCAGCAAAAATTTATGTGAGCTGTCCGATAAGTGAAACTAAAATGAAACCAAAACTGAACCTCAAGTTTTCCATTTCGGTGCACTTGACCACTAAACAAAACTGATTCCTGCCTCATTGCTATTCATCCCCCAACCTTTTTTTTTTTAAAATATTAAAGCTCTAAACAAAGCTATAAGATACCAAAGAGAGTAAACAATATTGCAAACACCAATAATTTTTAAAGTGACTCAATTTTATTACTTTCTGGACCATATAGCAAGTGGAACTAGGTTAATGTCACATGGATAGGTAAGGATTCATTGTGATGAACAGATGGGCTGTTTGTATGTCGTCTATAATTGAAAGCCATTTATTCTCTTAGGTGTAAGTACTTGGGAGATGGCTTGGTGTAAAGAGGAAAGGCGGGCTTTTGGAGAACAACAGGCCCCATCCACTGCCCCTAAAAAGACATTTCTCCTTCACCTTATTTATCCATTTAGTCTGGGCTCTGTCAGAACGAGGGTCAGCCCAGCCATGTGGACTTGGTCTCAAATTCTCAACTAGTGATCGGAGTTAATGAGGTTTTACTATCATGTGACTGGTTTTCCTTGTGAAACTGTGAAACACAATATTAACTTCTCTTAATGGGTGGCTGGTGTAATTTATGGCCTATCACTTAAACGGTTTCATCCAGAAAGTCAGGTTGACTTTCTGAGTGTTTCCTTTTGTGGAATGCCTGAGGTCAGGCTGTTATTGAATCACAGATTTTCTGAGGGAAAAGCAGCTGCTAGGAGAATGGAGTGTGAGGGACTAACAGTTAAGTGGTGAGAACAATCAGAAAGGACTGAGTATTTTGGGGGAAGCACAGTGGAAATCTAAGGCTTAATGTGTGCCGGGAGGCAGGGAATACTTGTCTTAGGCTGCACAGAACTGTTTCAGCTGAGTGGGCCATTGGCTGGCCAGGCTGCCAGGTGGTTGCTCAGAAATATGGGGCAGTGGGTTGCTATGAGCCCCTCTTTTCTAATTTGAAAATGCAAAAAGTGCAGCTTTCTTTGAAGGCATTTGGGCATATGTTCAGTTATCCCCCAGGGAAGCACCATCTTTCCTTTTGGGACAAGAAGGATGAAAAGAGAATTTTATGAACTGGAACTTGAACAAGTGAATGGAAAATACAAGCAGATGTTGGTTGGCTAGGGTACAGGAGAACTGTCCAAATTTCAGATTTCAAACTCATATATAAATAGGTTAGAAATGAGCATTAGATTAACCATCCTGCCAAAGTAAATTGGTGCTGTTTATTCTCTTAATGAGATGTGCATTACAAATCTCAGATTCCCTGTGTTAAGTCAGTTCTCATTTTCAGTCACATCTCTTCAAAAGTCGTTTGACAATAATAATTGTTCTCACTCATAGGTGGGTGTTGAACAATGAGAACTCATGGACACAGGGAGGGGAGCATCACACACTGGGGTCTGTTGGCGGGGGCAAGGGAGGGATGGGGTGGTGGGGAGGTTGGGGAGGGATAACATGGGGAGAAATGCCAGATGTAGGTGATGAGGGGTTGGAGGCAGCAAACCACATTGCCATGTATGTACCTATGCAACAATCCTGCATGATCTGCACATGTACCCCAGAACCTAAGTACAGTAATAATAATAATAATAATAATAAACAAAAGTCGTTTGAAAAAAATCTTATGTAATTTAGGGGGAAGGCTGTAGGAAAAAAACTTTTTCTGTAGATTTGCCTGTAGACTTTTTCACCCAAGTTATTTCTAGTCTTGATGAAATAGCTGTTTTCCCCACCGAGTCAGACAAAATTAAGCAGCTCTTCAACTGATCACCAACTCTGATTTACTCCTAGTGATTCTGGGATCAAGGCATGTTTCTCTCAGAGCTGTTAGTGTACCCATTGCTCCCACCCTGACAAATTAATTGGAAACCCTGACAATGGTAATAGGAAAATCTTCACAGGTCACCTTCCCTGCGTGTTTCATTTTCAAGCCTTTGTTTTCTTACCAGAGAAGAATAAGATAATTTATATGAATTAGCTGACTTTCTCTGTTAATATTTTTCACAAGCTACAAAACTTACACATTTTTAGCTCTTTGGGTGGATTTATCTTCTTCGCTTTTTTGTAATTGAATAATCACATTTTCCTACTGAGTAATTTGAGGCACCAAGAAAAAAAGTCATTAACAGATGACTGGCTTGTTGAATACATCACAGAAAATAACACTTTATTATGATTTTGTTGACGAAATTTGAATGCTAAATTCAGATAGCTGCAAAAAAATAAAAACAGATTTGAAAAGAAATGGTGCCACCCATTGCAGGATTTTTACCTTCATGGAAATAAGGTTTATTGAAATAAAATGATAAATAAAAATGCTTTCTGGTTTGGGAGAATCAACCTAGTTTCTGATACTGACTGTTTGTTTCCCTTGCTCCAAAAGTGTCATCAATCTCCCTGTTTAGATGCAGTGCAGCCAGGTGTTCAGAATCACAGGGGGACAAAAAGAATTAGTTTCTTACTGAATAGGGGATTTTTTTTTTAAAGAGGCTGGCATAAACAGGGCTGAAAAATGTGAAACATCTAGACTCACTGAACTGAACCCCCTTTTTTCCCCCTCTTCCCAGGAATAATTTTGCTACAAGGCTGATTTCAAGGACATGAATTGTTGACCTCATCCCAACATCAGAACCTCAGACGTTCTAATTTTTGCACCATTCCAGGCAAGTTGATCTTATAAGGAAATAAAATTGAACCTTAGGGGTCTGATGGGAATTCACTGTGACGTTCAAATCAAGAAAACTTGCTGATGCCCACAGAGCCTTTTCCCCATGGGCCCTGATGGTAGCCTCCAGAAGGCGCAGCCTCAGGTGGTCCCCCTTCTTCTGTGGCAAGAATAAACTTTGGGTCTTGGATTGCAATATCACCTGTGGAGAAAATGGTATGCGAGGGAAAGCGATCTGCCTCTTGCCCTTGTTTCTTCCTCTTGACCGCCAAGTTCTACTGGATCCTCACAATGATGCAAAGAACTCACAGCCAAGAGTATGCCCATTCCATACGGGTGGATGGGGACATTATTTTGGGGGGTCTCTTCCCTGTCCATGCAAAGGGAGAGAGAGGGGTGCCTTGTGGGGAGCTGAAGAAGGAAAAGGGGATTCACAGACTGGAGGCCATGCTTTATGCAATTGACCAGATTAACAAGGACCCTGATCTCCTTTCCAACATCACTCTGGGTGTCCGCATCCTCGACACCTGCTCCAGGGACACCTATGCTTTGGAGCAGTCTCTAACTTTCGTGCAGGCATTAATAGAGAAAGATGCTTCGGATGTGAAGTGTGCTAATGGAGATCCACCCATTTTCACCAAGCCCGACAAGATTTCTGGTGTCATAGGTGCTGCAGCAAGCTCCGTGTCCATCATGGTTGCTAACATTTTACGACTTTTTAAGGTAGGTAAAGGCATTGTCTTTCTGACCATTGTGAAAGGACAGTGAAATGCTATGACTCCAACTGCAGGTATGGGAAGAAAGTGAAGATGGCGAAGGTGCTCATAGACCCTTTCGGGTTCCTCAAATGGGGCATTCTGTGTCTAAGTTTCTGTATGTATTGGTTTAGTTCCATTACTTACAATTAACTGGATTAATTTTGACTCTGGTTTTTTTTTTTTTTTTTTTCTGACCAAAGAGAAAGGTGAAAAGTTCTGTAATATACTGGGTCCTTGTCATCTTGGGACAACCTCCTTATTAGGCTCATTTTAAATCAAAGCAAGCATTTTTAAAGAGAATAATAAACTCTTAGCGCATTTATCATAGAAAACGTTTCTGTGGTATTTGAGCTATTTAATTTACTTTGTGAAACTTCTTTAAGGTGGGATGCTGTGTTGTGACAAAAGTTCATTCCCGAAGAAACAGTATTTATTACTAATGTGTAGATGGGAGTGACATTCTGGGAGATAAGATGACCATAAAATTGTCAGACTTGTTATAACTACAATAGAGCAGAACCTTATTAATTCAGACTGCTCTGATACAGACTTAGAATAATTATATATAATTCTTATTGCATTAAAAGTTCAAATTTAGCAGGATAAATCAAGACTTTTTGATTTAGGTTTGGTGATCTATTATCCATATGTTGCATTGATATATTGAATAAAATTGGAAATATGGAATAATACATGTAAAAACACTTTGAAAAGTATAAAGTGCCATAAAAATAAGGTTATTGTTAACTCACCATTTTCATTGACTTTCTCATTTATTAATAACCAGTATGTAGTCTTCTGTAATAGACATAATTTGTTTAATTGAAAATACTTCTCACTGGTTTCTTACTCAGTGGGACATGAATTTTTCAACTTAATCTGAATTAATGAGCCTTTGTTTTATGTTGTGAAAAGTGGTTCTTATACACATTAGATTTAAACATATTAAAAGAATATGGAGAAGTTGGACAGATGACAGATATTATGACAAATATGAACAAAGTGATGGGAAATGTCACACCAAAGATGAAAGATATTGAATCAAAGCATTTCTGGCTTGGCAGATATCTTCGGGGCACATCTAGTCTGGCCCACTCATGGTGCTGGAATCCTCTTTGTAACATCCCCTTGAGTGGCTGTGCAGCTTCTGTGTGGATTTCCCTAGTTTGGAAGAGAAAATGCTGTGAGGCAACTTAATGGCTATTTTCAGATTGATGAAATTTTCTCAAATAAGGAGGATGCTAAACAGAAGTTCTCTGTGTCTAAGGAGTCCTGAAGAGGCACACACAGGCTTCAGGGTGTGCTGGAGACATTTGAGCAGAACATTAAGAAGCACCTCTTGGCAGTGAAAAGGACACAATTAAAACATGTAGCCAGAGTTGCCCTGGTTCTCCATCTCTGGAAACTTTCAAGGGAAACTAGGCAGTTGTTAACCATTTCTCTTGGGTTAGCAGACTCCTTGCTTAGAGGGAAGACGTGGAGCCAGACTTTTCCAGGTTTCCTCCCACATCTTGGATTCCTCCCAGCCACCCCAGTTCTGTGCCATGTGGCATTTTCTGCTCTGGGGTGAGGTCCAGCTCAGACATTTCTGTAACTCTTCTCTCTGATTTGAACTCCCTCCTCACCTGCTCCAAGGTATCTCTTTTCTATTTTTAACTTAGCAACTGTGGTTCAAAAACACCACTTTTAGAGGAGAGGAAAACGTTCATAAGAATTTTCTCCTTTTGGTTTCCCTCCCTTTATAAACCAGTTCTGGCTCCCGCCAATCCCATTGTAATTCCTGTGAATCTTGGCTGCCTCCTGTAGTCTGGTGCCCAGCCAAAAGTGGGCAAGGATTTGAGGAGTGTGGTAGATAAGGTGCTCATATGAAGTTTTCCAAGCTTGTTTGCATTTTTTTTTTTTTTTGCCATAGAATCAACTTATCTGCAAAATGGGAATAATAAGATTGTATTAGGTTGTTGGGTTTATTTAATAGGAAAATGCAGGTGAAGGCTTCCATCAGGACCTGGTCATGTCCTTTGGTTTTTTGGGCCATTGAAGGAAACTCTAGGCCACTTGAAGGCAACAGGGGTTTAGTTTTTATGCAGGGGGGATCTGGCTTCTCTCTGTTCTTCCCTCACCGACTGGTTAATTCTCTTAATTTCTTGGGTTATTCTGGAGGGACCCCATCTGACTGGGTAAGAGAGTTCTACTGACCCTCTGGGCAGCGTCCAGTGCCCCAGGCCATCTCTTGAGACACTGACCAGCACACGAAAGGGCAGCAGCTCTTGCCGCCGTTGACTGAAGTGCAGGGAATGGGTCATTTATCGCCAGGAGGGGGTGCTGTTATGGTACTTGTCATGACTAACATGCTAGTTCACTGGCCCAGAGTGAGCATTTAACATCTAGAAGCAAATCCTGTTATTAACCAAGTTATTGGACTTGAAAATTGTCATTCAAAAGTCCATCAGTGAGAAAATGTAGGTGCCTACTCCATCTTACAGGTGATTCTGGAACCATAGAATATGAATTAGGTAATAGCAACTTATCATTATTATGCTACTTTAATTTACTTTGGTTTTTATGCAACTTTCAGCTAGCACTCCATTTGTAATAATTATGAAACAATTGGGATAGAAAGTTGTCCACTTTATGTATGGATGACTTCTGTTTATACATGTATGCTAGGATGGACATGAAATATTAGAATAGTTATCAGAGGAATGATTAGTAGTTAATGCATTGGAGATTGGCATATAGTTCCTTTTTAAAAAATAATGCTTTTCTTAAATAATAATTTTCCAAAGGCCATGGCTTGAGTAAAAATATGTTTTATGACAGTTTTTTTCAAGCTTGGGCCCTTTCAGGGTAGCAAAAGACTCACAGAATCTGAAAATATGCCCAGAAATTAACGTATTGCTACTTATTCCTGGATAATGCAGTTGAAGAAGATAGAGCATCTCCACTGAAAACATGCAATGAACCTTGATCAGAAGGAATACAAACAAGGTCTTAATTCATGAACTTACTCACTGTCCTGCTCAACAATACACATAAATTGGGGTTTTAAGAATGTGGTTGAGATGTGTTTCAATTTGTATGGAAAATATTTGGACCAAATTTGGAAGTGATTCCTAAATGTCTCAGTTCTCTCTCTCTTTTTTTTTTTTTTTTTGGTAATTTTTGGGAGACCATCTCTTTTACCTGCAGCATCTTCTGAACTAAATTGCGAAGGAGACACCACCTTCCACGCAGTCCTATTTACCACTTTCTTCAGTCTTGCTCCTCTTATGTCAGCCTCTCCAGTCCTTCCATTCCTAAGTGTTCTCCTAATCAAAACCTGATGCAAGGGATCTGTGTGTTGTCAGTTAACTGCATGTTAGTATGTCTGTGTTTAAGTCAGAGGAGGATTTTATTTCCTGCAGGATCACTAATTGTGGAATGAAATGGGATTTGTCTTTGTAAAGCAGATCCCGACATCAGTTGGGGAGGTTCATTTGGTCCTACAGAGGCTGCACTTGGTGGATAGCCGCCGCCGCTGCTGGAATACAGGTGGCCCTGCTTATCTGATCTAGGGAAGTGGTGTCATCTGTCTTTGTTTCTCTTCTTATCCAAGCTCAGAAGCAAATAAGAAAAAAATGGGCCTCTTTAACTTCGGAAGAGAGTTAAATGAGGGGTTGGAGCTGGACACAACCTGAGAACAGAAGATGCCATGTGGCCTAGGTCCGTAGGATACTGAATGCTTTACTAGACCAGGGATGTTCAACGCCAAGTGTATGATGGGGTTCATTCTGCTGTCGCCTCACCCACAAGGGGTATGGGCTGCATTATTAAAACTACCTGGGAGGCTTTTCGAATGGCAGGATCCAGTGAATGATGTGTGCCTTCCAAGCCCCTCTCCAGGAACTGTTTTTATTGAGAGGAGTGTCTCATATCCCTCAGGTGTGTTGGGAGTGGAAACAAATTTGAGAGTTACAGAACAAGAATTTAATGAACTCAACTTCTTAGATGCACTAGTGTACCTTACACACACACACGTGCACACATACATATATCAGCTGACATGGGGCAGAGCAGTCACCTCGGTGATTGCCCCGCTCATATAGCATGTTAATGGCTTTAGATAACAGAAGTATCAATTAGGATAATGTGACATGTAGCTGTAGAATAGCAGACCCAGAACAGTTCCATCCTATACACAGGTACAAACGACACCTCAGGGGCTTCTGTATTGCAGATAACTCAGTGAAAAGAGGGGCACAGCTTCCCGTTAGAGATTGTGTAGTTTGGAAAGAATTTAAAAAGGAGCGAGTCTTTGGAAATATTTAAGAAGCCCATAGATTTGTGTTTTATAAAGAGGTCAAATTTTTTTTCCTTTTTCTAAAACATTTACACTCCTCCTCTTTAAATTAAAGCAAATCGATTCCTCCAAACACTAATCATATGTCTTACTTTGAGCAAAGATTGAATATTCTACGTTAAAAATAGCACATTGATACTGGAGGTAACTCACATTAATGTCCACAAAGATGAACTGGGTTGTAAGAGGACACTGTCAAATATAATTCCTCTCTTTTTTTGTTTTTCTAGTTAACTTCACCTGGGTTGTTAATTTTCTATCCTTGAAGGATAGGGGTTAGTCTGTAGAGTATCCTTCCCAAAGCAATCAAATGAGTCTTTTAAATATAAATCCATCTGTGGGTGGGCTAGATAATTTCACCCTATGTGGAAGTGTGCTGGTTATAAATGGCTAAAATTGATCTTCATGTGAAGTCAATAAAGTACTGAGAAGCATCTTGTTTCCCTGGCAGTAGTCTTTGCCTGTCCTGCTATGTTTATGAAGATATATTTTCTTTCAAGAGACTCTACCAATTGTAGCAACCACTTCCATAAAGCCACGCATTTTTTGAGTTGTTTATTGCATACAATGGGTTTTATTAGATCCAAAACTTTGAAAAGGTAAATCTGCCATATCTGGGCTCATCT